AACTCAATTAGGTTGAATAAGGAACGGTGAACATAAATGTAAAACTCTTGGACTAGATTCTCATTTGGATTTAGTTTTGGGCTTTGAGTGGACCGTACAGTTTTGCTTCCAACGACTCAATCATAGCACCATAGTACTCGATCCTCCAACCGGTCTTCCTTCACGTTTGCTCTGTATCCTGTCTCTTTGCCTCACCACTGTTCTGTAAACACCTGAGCTGTGGATCCACACAGCTCCTCCAGAGTCACTACAATCAGTCAGTTTAGGCAAAATTTATGTCTCAGCAGGTTCGACGAGGTTACGTATCCCTTTCAGTTTTGGATGGTGGACTTAAATGTGCTCCATGACATGTCCAACATGGATGAAATTAGGATATATGTTAATAACCTTTACACAACGTTCTCCCTGACCTGACATCTGTGTTCCTTGGTCTTCGAGATGCTGTTTGTTCTCTAATGTTCTCCAACAAACTTCTGTCCAAACTGCACCCCAAACTCTTGCACAATGTAACAAAACCTGGAAGAATTAGCTGGTCTAATGGACGTACGCATGGCTCTAAACTTGCTCCGCTCAATGCTGGCAGCATGATGGAATAGCTCTGTTATGTTGCTTCTGATTTCTTCACCAGTTTTTGGGCGAGGCCTTTCTTTCTGGACAGTTATTCCCTCTGGGAAGGATTTTCTTGCTCTTAACTTTCGGACAGTTGCTTGGATGCTTAACTCTGGCAACAAATCCCACAGAAGTTGGAACAGAGGCTTTGTAGTGGCAGTGCAGAGCCAAAGAGCAAAGAGAGACGAAGGAAGTTCAAACCATCTCTTCAATTGAACCTAATGGGGTATCAAGTATCATTTCCCCAACTCCAATGTCTCTCTGCCAGACTTTCTACTAACCGTACGGCTGGAGAGAGATTTGAAGAGGCAAGTGAGGTGGATTAGCATGCTGCTGTGAAATATTGCATCTGTTGCCTGGATATTTAGCATGTCATGACAGGGTCTTCTGGTTCTTAAGATTTGTTCTTTACGAATACTTGGATCACCTTCGTTCCACTTAACAACTGTGCTCTTTCCCGTGTTGGTCTATCACGTAAAAATCCATTACGGCGAAAACAATTCGGCAAAAGTACAAAGGCTCTGAACACCAGGCGTTACATATCGGTTTCGCTCAACTTTTCGGTTCAATCTATGTTGCATTAATGAAGATCCGTTTCTCGTCTTCCCTAAAACCAGAACAGATTAATCACGTTGAAGTTCTTGTACTTGGAATTGACAATTCCAGACTCTTTAGATGAATTAGAGATCCCCCTGTGGAGACTTGATGTTCCCATAATTATGAGCTACGACAGGCTGTTTAATTAGTGTTCCATCTGATTGCTATGAAATATATTTTCCTTCTGACAATAACACTATTACACACCGATCCTAGGGTGTTTGTTGAACTAAACTAATTGCTATTTATGAGGCAAGTGCTGCCGTCAGCCTGTTCCAAGCACAGCTGCTTCACACCTGAGACCCACATGTCTGTTCAACCACACTATTAGTATTCAAGAAATAAATATTTGGTCTGTATGATTTTTTTTCATACTGTCCATCATATTCCCCACAAGGCAAAAATCACATTAAGTTAATTAAGTGAAGTAATTAATATTTATATTAGAAGACCTGTTATCTAAGACTTTGTAGTTTTTTTCAGAAAGAATTTGCATATTTTTTCCCCCTAAAATATGTCCTTTTAGTAATGAGAAAGCCCATCATTAAGCTTGATATTGTACTGGATATGAGAAATAAAGCATATGCTCAATCACTGTGAATGCAGAACAGATACATTCAGTGGGAAATAGACAAAAAAAAAACATTTTCACTTCTGTATTTAATTTACTCAGGTTTTTCTGTGGTGACTGTAAAAATGCGATACTTGCAAAAGAGAAGGAAGAACCCGCAAACTTAAACAAGTTAAACTGACACGCCTAGGCCTGTCACAACAATCAATAAATCAATTAATTGCAGGATAAATTAAAACAAACTCAGTTATTTCCATTGGCATGATTTATCCTTTATCTCTTTTTTTTTCTCCCTTTCTACCAGAAACTGGATGATAAAAGTCTTCAGTTTGGTCCTTTGGTCTCAACTGGCTCCTTTTTTGAAGGACAGTTTTGTTTACAAAGACTTCAAAATTCATTGTATTTGTTGTTTTATTTATTTTGTATATTTAAAAATGTATTCCACTTCCAGTGGACAACATACTGCATTTACACAAAAGACATAAAACTGATTTTTTTTTTCTCTTTTTCAGAAACAAAGAATGAACATGAAGTTCATTTTGCTCCTTATACATTTATTTCACATACACTTTTCCGTTAATATTTAAAAATAACATTCTACCGTTGAACAAATCCTTTAAATGACTGCTGGGATTTATCAAGAAAGGCCGACGCCTCATAGAAAACCAGAGTAACAAACGCTTTCACGGTTCGTATTATTAATTCGTCCACATCGAGGGCTGCAGATGACATAAACAAATCAGCAAAATTATTATGAAAAGACTCAGGTAATGACGGCCCATCAGCAAAACCCCAACAAACATGATTAGCCGCTTTATGTCAGGGGCTCTTAAGTGTAGAGCTGTGAATGAGCCAGTGATTGTGGAGCATGAATGAAAAGCTTGATGTCGATTATGGAATACTAACGAGCATTTCTTCGGGTTCAGGCAGGGTCTCCTTCAGCCCTGCTTGAAGAAACTGTTTTTTTTTGTTCCTCTTCTTTTTTTGCTTTGGACCTATGACTCACAGGTGCTGATTTTAACCAGCACCTGATTTGTGAGGCACCGGGGTCCTGACTGTAAATTCCAGCACTTTTGACGTGTCTTCACAAATTAATCGGGTCGGATTCTATCCGTGTATTCGGTGAACTTTGAAAGGGAAAACTGCGGATTTGCCCCCTTTTTTTTCCTCAGACTTGCTTCCTACCCACTGAGATTATTGGAAAAAGGAACGAACAGGAGAAAGAAAACAAAAAAAAAGAAACAAAAACACACATTCAGATTTAACTAAGTGAACCTATAAATAGCAGAAGCTCTACAGAAAACATCCCCACCCAAAGTCATGATGACTTCTGCCAGGTTCTCTGCAGGACCTGATGAGGTATAAAGGTTGCATGCGCGCGCGCGCATGTGTGTGTGTGTATGCGTGTGTCTGCGTGTGTGTATGTAGGGAAAGCAGGGAGTGAGGGAGGCAGCAGACAGATATCAGCCAAGGAAGATCACAGGACCGACCAGCAACACAGTGCTGACATTTTCCCCACAGGGCCCCCACCAGACCAAATCATCCACACTTTAACACCACCATTAAGCCTGTGATTGGTTTGAGGGATGCTTGGACGCCTAATGAGCAAATCAGTGTGCATGGCTGCGTGTGTTCCGAGTGCCCGTGTGCTTACGCGGCTAATGAGGGGCGGCGGACCCCCTACGACTGACGAGACGGTGGAAGAGGGCGATGACGTCCCCACTCACCAGCTAAACACCTCATGGTACGGAAACAGGGGCTTCTTGAAGGTCGTGTGGAGTGATCCAGATGGAAGCTAATGGCATAATTGGAATCTTTATTTAAACGGAGAGATTCCAGGTGGTTTTATCTCAGGAGGACCGGATGAAGAATGTGGAATGCTCGGCTACAGGGGGCGATACAAGGTGTTTTTCAGGCACATAGTGTCGTTTTATAGCACAATAAAGTAACTTTGTCACCTTTGGTTGCTATAAAGACGCTTTTTATATGGAATATGAAATTCACCTTTGTAACGCCTTGAAATTGGGGCTCTGACTCTTTAAAAAACTCCTCTTTCTGAAGTCATCACAACATGGCTCCCGTATTAATCCTTTGACAACGTTTTTACCAGCGTTGCAATGAGCAGTGGCTCGTATAACGAGCTCAGCAGATGTGCAGTTCCACCAGGTGTTTGCTAATTGTTGCTGGCTAGTCTGAAGGAGCCGAGTGAGCGAGCTGAATGTGGAAGCTCAAAAGCTTAAAAACTGCAGCTCTGACAACGAGGCATTTCACACAGCTGAATGGTTGAAACAGGAGATTACAGGATCTCTCGTATGTTCATGAAAGAACCAAAGCAACATCCCAAGAAAGTTTTGGAAGAAGGGATAAAATTATAATATGATATAAAGCTAAAAAAAAAAAGTCATCTTTACAAAATACTGCCCCCTTTAACCGCCAGCGTGCACCAGAGATTTAAGAAACAACTTTAATATCCACACAGAGTCTGACCTACAAACATACCTTCATTAGTATTTGGAAAAACGCCCCTTAGTAAGTCTGAGATGAATCACACTCTTTTGGTTGCAATGGACAAGCTGCTGGAAGATAAACCTGAGATAATTTTGTGGAATATGCTAACATGAGGAACAACTGGATTTTATTTTTGGTAATGCCCTCCTGAAACACAGACTACATCGTAAATCATTTTGATAACTCAAAGTGCTTTACACTAGAGTCACATTCACCCATTTGCACTCACATCTATAGACCGATATGCTGAACGGTAGGCAATATGGGCGCCCAAGGGCACATTGGCATTTGGCAGGAGACAGCTGGAATCGAACCTACAACCTTCCAATCACAAGAGGCCTAATCTACCCACAGAGCCACAGTCGCCCTCTTAATGGTAAGGCAACACCAGAAGTGTCTTATGTAAGACTTACTTAGGTGAATATAGACATAAATATCTACAGTTACCTTTGAAAAAGTTCGAGTCTTAGGTCAAAATGGATACATACAAACATTTTAATATCAGGACACCACATCTGACCAAATTAATTTGGGTGTCCCTCGTCTGCAACCAGTAGCGTTTACCTTGAGCAGACTGCAATGCTTTTAAGCCATAAAAGTTTCTATTTCCAGAGAATAATAAAGTTCTTGGGTTATTAGAGGGCAAATTATTTCAAACCCTCAGAGTCAGGGTGAGGAGTTGTGTTAGAAGGGTGAGAAAACTGCATGCACTCACTTGGCACCCGGTTGATGGCTCTCAGGGGTCTCAGCACACGCACCGTCCTCACAGCTGAAAAGCTAACATTTTGCAGGTTGAGTGAGTACTCCAACATCCTGGGGAAACAAAAGAAGAAAAAAAAGAAGAGAACGAGACAGAGAGAGAGAACAGAAAACATGTGTCAATGCAGCATCTACAAGCCAAATGTTGCTGAAGCTCATCCACCAAAACTCTCCAGCAACTAATTAATCTTTTAATATTCCCAATGACTTTTACATTCTTGGATTTATGAAATGGCTGCTGTGCATATGTTCTGGCAAACAGCGTGAATTTATTCTAAAGCAATTAAGTCTACGACTGCGAGAGCGTAACAATTGAGAAACACCACTCTGTCCGTGCTAGCACATGGAACGTAGCAAACACGTGATGTTGTCTGCGGCTCGGCGTGTTCGCACAAGTCCTTGCGCAGTCGATCTTCAAAAGGCGCGACCCCTTTGAGATGTCGAGAGCAGACTGTAAGAGTTGCCTGAGACTCGGAAGACGCGGTGTCCAAGCGGAGCCGCCTCGAAACGCCACGCTCTTGGCGGCCTCTCTGGCGGCTCTTTGGAGGCTTTTTTTTTTTTTTCTCAGAGCGTGATAGGAAGTCAGGAGGACACCGCTCTCAAAGGGAAACTGTGGGATGTCTTATTTGTGATTGCTGTTTATCGTCCTTGCTTTACACAGCGCCTCTCTCTCCTTGCATGTGTGTTTGTGTGTGTGTGTGTATGTGGAGCAGCTGCTGAGCACATGTGCAGCTGGAAGGAGCGTGCAGATGAAGGAATTCCCTTCTCGCGCTGACTCCAAGTCTGCCTGACAAATTCGCAACACATGTTGGAGGCTGTATGTGAGTGCGTGCGTGTTTGTGTCACCTGGAGTGCAAGAAACTCCCTTAATGAACCTGTGAATGCGCGCCTTTAACACATTAAGGTGTCCCGGTGCTTGCCTGTTTGGATCTCTACAGCAAAGCACCGGTATAAGAAGGAAGGAACACCCTCTCTCGTTGGCGAACACACACACACACACACACACACACAGAAAAAAACACAGCCGCAGCCAACAGATGGCTTGCAGGCCACAGAATGAAGGTAAACGGATAAACGGTTACCAAAGAGGATCGACCAAGAGCAGCAGACAGAAACAAGGTTGCAATAACGGTTTCCGCCAGTCTCAAGATATCGGCAAATCCCTTCAGCAGCTGTGTGATGCTCTGCCTTGGTGCTCATGGATACTTAGGTTTCACCTTTCACTTTTAAGACATGGCGTAAGGCAGAAAAAAGGTCACTCGTGGGCTGTTAAATGAATGGCAGAAGAATATCTCAGCAAAATTCATTGCATGTCAAAGTCAACTTAAAGTCAGAGAGAGTATAACTATCTCTGGGAATAGTTGTGCATCTCTCTTGACTAAAACAGCAACACTGGGACAGAACAACACAGTAGAAGACAGTTGGGGTAACACTGTAAGAGGAAGGTGAGGTCTTACAGAAGAAATCATACATGTCCAATAGCCCTTTGCACGTTTGTAAAACAAAAGGATCTTAAACATGTGGCATGCCTTTGGACTCAACCCCTCTAGGATCAGTACAAAGACTTAAAGACTACTTTGAAGATCCACATTCAATTCCAAGCTGATGGTCTCTCTAGGCATGTTCCTACCAGTTGTACACATCTAGAGATGGGAATGTTGCCCATTCTTTTTTTACAAAACAGATCAAACTCCATCAGATTAAATGGAATTAATTTGTAAACTTTCCATCAAGCCTTGCCACAATCTCTATTAGACTTTTTTAATCATTGACATCAGCACCTGATGTCAATGATTAAAGTTGGGGAGCACCTGGAACCATCAGCACCGGTGCCCCCCCAGGGGTGTGTCCTATGCCCACTCTTCTTCTCTTTACATGAATGTCTGCACCTCAGCAGACTTCTGAAGTTGACACCACTGTTATTTTAGTCTGAGTCTCCTCTGGGCCTTAATCCAAGACTTACACAGATCTAGGGTCAGGAAGAGAGGCAGCCGGCACCTCTGCAGACCCCACACATCCTGGATTCAAACTGTTTCGACTTCTAACTTCAGGTTGGTGCTGTAAAGTGCCATTTGCAAAAACGGCACTTTTTTATGACAAAATTTATATCTTTACCTAAAATGTCTGTCCATTGAGGGCAAAGTGAAACTGAAGTCAAATTCCTTGTTTGTGTGAAGAAACTTATCCATGAAATTCTGACTCAGATAAATAATGTCTTTTATATTGTGATTCAACCATCATTATTGAAAATAAACAAGCGAGAAAAAAAAGAAAAAGAAATAATTCCCTGGCCATATTGGCTATGGTACTTATGGCTCCAATTTAGCAGCAGCTTGGAAACAGGAAAACAATCTGAAATAAATAACGCACAAGACAAGCTGCAGTCAGGCTGAAAAAGAAGGCAGATCGAACTCTTTGTCTGGAATTAATTTGAACTTTGGGGGATTTCTAAAATTATGTATCTGGGAAGATGATGGGAAGTGGTGTGGGTTTACAGTGTGCTGGCTCGGATCGCAGACAGCTGGTTAGTCTATTCCTTTTAATCTTCAGCAGGTTCTTAAAAGTTGTTTTTGTCCAATTGTGCCCTCAAGTTACCATTTGAAATATTTTAGCACATTCCTGGTAATTTTTTTTCCTTCCAATTTATACCCTTTGTATTATTTTTTCTTATTAAGGTTCAAACGACGTAGACTAAAAACACCAATACAACCATGGTTTGTAAGCCATTGGATGTATTTTGGCAAGACTCATTTGGGCTTATCTTTGCTTACAAGATGTATTGAGGGGTTAAGGAAGTTCTTTTGAATCGTATCATTTCACTTCAGGCACTCACTGCAATTCTTATTTTAAACAGAGGATGTCACTGCAGATAAAATCAGTCTGAATTTAACAAGTACTAGAAGAAGAATCTATACAGGAAGTACATTCCTAATAGAAAATCCTAACTAAAAGTTTTTTTTTTTTTTTTTAACTAACATTTTGCCATGTATATTTTCACTGCAATTGATTGGGACAATACAGCGAACACACGATGCATATATCAGACAAAAGATTACGACTACCTATCATACATATCCCATTTCATTGGGGACCCCATCCGGTCCATCCTGCCCCATTCACAACAAACACAGATGCACTGAGTGTTTTTTGACACATTTCTGTTAGAATCACTGTTATATTTGCAACAGTAGCTCCTTTGTTGGATTGAGACACGAAGGCCATCAACTGCTCACCATGTGCATCAATCTGCCATTTGCTGCTTGGGATCCTGTCATCACGCTTCGTTCTTTTGTACAACTTTTATAGATACCGGCATGTGTGGACCGGGAACACCAAAACAAGAGCTGGGTTTTCGTCGACCCTCTGACCATGTCGTCCGGCATAAAAAATATGCGCTCCTGTCAAATACTTTCTAATTTTTACAATCACTCATAATCTTTGAGAACGCACGTTTGATTTACAGCCTAGCGTATCTCAACCACTAACCGCTGCCATGACAAAACAAATTATTTTCATCCCCACCATCAGTGGTCAAAGTGTTCCCCCTAATCAGTTTATGGCGTTGGGCACCGTTCAGTAGTCCCTAAGTGACAGGCAACATTATCCTAATACTAATAGGAAATACACTGAGAGCCACAGACAAGCTACAAATCCCCAAGGGCAATATTACAGAAATATTAAGGTAATTCCTCATCAGACACAGTTGCATAAACTTAAAAGTGGATGATGAATGATGTCTGTCGTAAAATAGTCTTTGCGAAAACACACGCTTGGCTTGATGAGAGCCAGATGATGTTTGGTGTGCCGAGACGAGTCTGACCCACCCACCCCAAACCAGAAGGGAGGAACAGCTGAGGAGAAATGGAGTGTATCGAAGTAACCGGAAAGACATCAGGGAAATCGTGCATTCATTTTTTATATTTTTTTTTTATCCCAATTTTAAGTAGAAG